AGGAAAATCATATGTCACCCCATGCTTTCATTCAAGCATTAAATCATACGCTTTTATCTATGGAAGCTATGTTTTTCCATAGAAAATTTTTGTTTTCTAAAACAAATTTTTTTCCAGAATATCTTTCAATTTCTCGAATCATTCTCGGATAATGTTTGAAAAAATTAACCAAAAATATTTGCTTCTAGCTTTTTTCAGCTGATTAAATCATTGCTCTGATTAGCTTTCAGATTTTTTTAATTTGAGACTTTTCATAACTTGAAGTAGAGCAGACAAGCTTGCGGTACCCCGAAAATCTCTAAGATTGGTCTTTCCTTCTTAAATTTCTTCAAATCTATCGCTTATTTTATTTAATCAAAAACTCATTGGAACCACCTGCAACATCATTCATGATTTCTTAGAAAATATACACAGGACCATATATGATGATGCATAGAAATCATAGGCGGCACCATAAATTGCTCAACTGAAACATTGCGCGGCACAATACTTTGAAATACCAATTGTGAAGAAAAAAAGCTTAACGTCAATTAAAGGCGTTCCTGTTATAAAAAATAGTACAATGATATGTCCGATCATTAATGGAAAATGCAATATTTTAATGGTTCAGTAGGTCGGAACTTTTTCGCGGTTTAGTACGTCGCAAAAATAAGATGCGACACATGATTACACAATTTGGTCTACTCGAGTTTTCAAATATCAACTAAATTTTCTGACTTAATATCAAAAACCTCTTTTTCAAACAAAGAATAATTTTTTACCTAAGCTTGCCCTTTTTTATTTTAAGTATTATTGTTTAATTTTGAAAACTCAGATCCCCTATGTTTTTCGAGCTAAGAAACTGACCAACTTTTTTTCCATAAAGATGTTTAGTGATTTTTTTTCTATTTTTCGCAGCTATAATCACCTAAACAAAAACATATTAATTTCGGACAGCATATGAAACAACAGATATAGTATTTGTTGAAATCTAAATTTCCCGACCAATCTATAAAGTAAAAGAACTGTTGCTCCATGCGCTGACTCGGATGTGGCGATTAGCCTTTGTAATTATTAGCATATGATTGCTGGCTGGAGCAGAAAATTTATGAGGGGGTTCTCGCAACTTTTCGGCTATTTTTAGGTCGGCCATATTGATTTTTTGTGCTCTCATAAAATACATTAGAAAACTTATTTTTACAAAAGCTTCTGCGCCACTACCTCTGAGTTTTTCTGCGAATTGAAAAAAAAACCTTTTTTCCTGAAAACACTTGAGCTTTTGCAGGAGTAAAAACAAAAAGAAATGTTTTCACAAAAAAACGCTTAGCAAGGAGTATGCCAGCTTTACCAAGAAAAATAGCCAATAAAAATTGCCATTTAGTCAAACTACATCACCATAAAAGATAATGCACAACCATAAAAGCCCAGGAGGTCGCAACCAAATGTTATTATTTATGCAATGATATAGTATTTTGACAATAAACTTAAAAAACACCAAGAAAAAATTTATGCTTTTTATAATTATTATTGATTCAAAAAATTTTTTCCTTCAACGTGCAAGAATTCGGATTGAACTATTGCCATTTTATCTTCTAATTTTGCATCTTCACTTTCGAAAGCAATAAAACTAAAATTGGAATCAGGCCACAGTCAGACGAGAACATCAAAGAAAAAAATGCGCTACCATATCCATCCGGGGCGGATCTAAGTATTTCTCGATTTGATGCGGGGCGGATTTGAAAAAAAAATCGAAAAAATTGTGTACTTTTTTGGTCGACGGAATTGAATTTTCGAACATTCCCAGAGTAGTGTAAAGACACTATTTTGACCAAATTTTATGCGGCGCAGGCAATTTTTGAAAGTTTTGACCAAAAAATTGTTTTTTTTGTCGCGCGCTCTCCTCAAACTTATATCATATTGGCTTTAGAAAAGTTTTAGGGTTGATCGACCGAAAATGAATATCATAAAATTTTACGAAAGAGGGGACCCTCTGATTGGTGAGAAAATCCGCCCCTGTATACATCCATATATGATTTTTACGGAAAGTGACTATATATGTTGCATATAAATGATTCTCTTCTCAAAAACCCTCAATCAATGCTTTTTTTATTGCTAATTATTGTTTTTTGTTAAGGATGCTGTTGAGAAACTTGGAAATTTTTTCAAGGAAAATCATATGTCGCAAGCACAATGATTTCATTCAAGCATCAAATCATACGTTTTCATCTATGAAAAACAATCAGAACAAATTTAATTGACAAATTTTTTCTAGAATATCTTTCAATTTCTCGAATCATTCTCGGATAATGTTTGAAAAAATTAACCAAAAATATTTGCTTCTAGCTTTTTTCAGCTGATTAAAGTATTGCTCTGATTAGCTTTCAGATTTTTTTTAATTTGAGACTTTTCATAACTTGAAGAAGAGCAGACCAGCTTGCGGTACTCCGAAAATCTCTAAGATTGGTCTTCCTTCTTAAATTTCTTCAAATCTATCGCTTATTTCATTTAAACAAAAATTCATTGGAACCACCTGCAACATCATTCATGATTTCTTAGAAAATATTCACAGGACCATATATGATGATGCATAGAAATCATAGGTAGCACCATAAATTGCTCAACTGAAACATTGCGCGGCACAATACTTTAAAATACCAATTGTGAAGAAACAAAGCTTAACGTCAATTAAAGGCGTTCCTGTTATAAAAAATAGTACAATGATATGTCCGATCATTAATGGAAAATGCAATATTTTAATGGTTCAGTAGGTCGGAACTTTTTCGCGGTTTAGTACGTCGCAAAAATAAGATGCGACACATGATTACACAATTTGGTGCACTCGAGTTTTCAAATATCAACTAAATTTTCTGACTAAATATCAAAAACCTCTGAAATGTATTTCGAATGTTGTTTTTTTTGCAAAATCAATAACTATGTGATAAGTTTTTCTTTGTAATCCATTGTTTGGACTAATTAATATGTTTTTAATTCAAATTTAGTCAAGTAGAAGCCATTTGAATTCCTGACTGAGCATTAAAAATAGACCCTTAAACACTTTTTAGGCCAATAACTACAGCAGAAAAACAAACAAAAAAACCAGTATTTCCGTGCTATTTTATTTAAAAAAAAAACAAGATAAAAAATTTAAGGCAAATAAAATTTTATTGGCCTGATTGACCTTTTTCAAGCAAAACCCTTAAAAATCGCGTCAATTCTAGGACAATATATGTAAATAAGCACCTAACTTGACAAATTAATATTCAAGAAACATATTACATTTGATAACTCGGTATAGAAAAACATGTAGGAGTTTCTGCAAAAAAAAATACAGAATTGACTTTTTTATAGAAATTTTAACCAAAAAAAATTTTTTTGGCGAGTGCTTCCTTAATCCACTTCTGGTTAGAACAATTATTCGGATGATCGATGCGCATCACATCAATATAATGCCAAAGCAGTAAATGCACAAAATTCGATAATTTGGCAAAATATAGTAACCCATTAAGTAAACTGGATTTTGAAGTTGAGACAAGAAGTCAAAAATTAGTGCTTACTATCCAAGCCAATTACAAGCCATTGATTTAGTCGTTTTTTTCTGTCATTAAAAAAAACAGTTTTCTTTGTAAAAACGCGCTAAAAAGGAAGTTTTGGGATTAAATAGAAGTTTTTAAAAAAAACTTCGCACGCACCCTCTCAACGCGAAGAACTGGCTGCTTCAGAGAAAAATTCAAATTTGAGTGGCACAAACGCTTATAATCAAAAATTTTACGCCTCCTTATCAGATTTGGAACCGAGCACGGTCCGGGCTCGGAACTCATTTTTAGGATCAGCAAGCGATTTTTGAATCCATATCTGAATTTCAGTTTACGTTTTGTTGAGAAATTCGTGTTTTCATAAAAAAATTGGTCCGGGCCGGGCTTGAAAAGTTTGCTTCCCAACCGGGCCGGGTCTGGTCCGCGCTTGAGGTAACCGGTCCAGGCCGGACCCAGGCCCGGGCCTCAAGTTTAGTGCTAGTGTACGGCATCCTGGAACCAGTTCTAAGCTAGAATTTATAATTGGTTATAAATATAATTTTCTATTCTTGTCAAATATTCCTAACTAAACAATCATATGCCATCTCTAACATTTACACTTATTTGTAAGTGCTGAAACTACTTGTAGTTTCAGCACCAGAGCAATTTGAATTAAGCTTAGAATACAGTTGTTCTCCTTCTGGAAACTAACTCGCATAAACCAGTATACATTAGATCTATTGAGACTAGGAGATATAAGAGTAAGATTAAGGTCGGTATTAGACTAAGAAATTGTACGAATCTATCCGGCCGAAAATAAGATAGCGTGACAAGCAGACGGTGTACCTTATCTGAAATTACTCTTTGAGTATAACCAAATAGGTCATAACTCAATCCATTTAAGGCCAAGAGAACCTAAAGTTTTTCTGAAAGAACCTTCGGCGCCATTATATAATGATTTTTAAATGAAATTGCGCGCCAAACAAACGCAATTTTCGTTCGAAATTTCCAAAAAAAAATGTCCAAAAGGTGATTTTGGCCTATTTTTGTTTTTTTTTTTTCAAAAAATTTCCTTCGGCCTAAAGACTATGAAAAAAATAGAGTCTTTTTAAGTGTTTTAGAGAGCTCGGAAAATCAGAAAGGTTAAAATAAATGAAAATCCGCAACATCTTTTCTTTGCAAAAAATCCTAGATTTGTCCCTGGGGTTGGAATATCTGAAAAGTGGTTGGTTATCCACACGTCGTCCACCCCACCCATTAAACCTGCCTGTGAATACTTATGATATATAACTTTATTAGAGCCTTCGTTTTGTTGTGTTCACTCCTAAAGAAACAAATTCTCTTAGCACGTCCCGGACCGGCTAATTTTTGGCATTTTTAATCTTTGATGCGAACTACCATCTTTTCTTCACTTGAAGCTGAACAAAACAATCAGAGTTTTCAAACTACAAGTAATCTCAAGCTTGATTGACTTCTAAAGCACTTTTTAAAATGTAAGTAGTTTTCAACTGTCTCTAAAACTGAACAAAAAAAACGTATATTTATACTTTTATTCTGTGATTCATCATAAAGTCTAACAAGATGAATTTTTTAGTTTTAATCTTGTGTTTTTCTTGCTCGTGTTTATTCGTAGCAAAATGTCAATTTAAGGACGAAACGAGCATCAAAATTGGGTTCGTTTTTGAAGAATCGGATCTGGATTCGGTTGAATTAGAAAGTGCTCTGGAAGTTCTCAGAACTCAAATAGGGGATTTCGACTTCGTTTTGAAGAGTTATTTTTCACGGGATAGTTACACAATTTTGCAGCAAACATGCCGAGCGTTGCGCGAGGGTGCGGCTTTCATAATCGCCCAAGCTAGTTGCTCGTCAACTAACGTTATTCAAACTTTAACCCACTCATTGCAAGTTCCAGCTTTATTTTTACCCAAATTTTCATCTTGCTCTAAAATTCCAGAAGTTAGCTCAACATCATTCCCTATGCGAGTTAGCAACTCACTTGTTTACAATCGACTTGGGAGTATTTTGGCCAAAAATGACTGGAACAATTACCTGATAATGCATGATGAATACTTCGCTGAAAGTTACATAACCGAATTGAACAACGAACTGAAAAAATCTGTGGACGAAACAAAACGCGGCATGGTCGCGAGTCACGTGATCAAATTGTACGACATCGAAACGACAAAAGACATGCAGAGTACGCTGATAGATTTGAACACAAATGGGCTGTTTAGCAATTTCATCGTCCTTGCATCGCAGAAAAATACTCTCAGGCTGCTGAAGCAAGCCCAAAATTTAGGACTTTTCGGGTTGAGTTACAAATGGGTTTTGGCTAACATTGATTTGGACCTAACACAGTTTCATTTTATAAGCCCTCAATTCAATGCTTTGATGATAATTCGACAGCTACCTTTGTCGGCTTTTGATCGAAGTTCGGGTTTCGTTGAGCCAAAATGGGACGGAACTAGTTCGCTCGGAATTTCACGAAACATGAGTTACATCCTAAACGCTGCGCAGCTTGCGATTGAAGCCTTGAATTCAACTTACAGTTCTGAGAAGACAAATTACGGTCAAGTTAAGAATCTAAACTGTATGAAAGATTCTCAATTTAACGACGGACCAAAAATAATCGATCGCGTTAAGCGAACTAAGAAACTCGAAGACGGAAGTTATGATTACTTTGGAGTAGCTAACGATTATCTCGGTGTCTCTTATTTCAAAAAGTCGCAAATTTTTGATGGAAACGACAAAAATTTTGATTCGATACGAGATGAAAGTCGGTTTGAAGTTTTCCCGCACCTCGAAATGTTGCGCTACGACACGAGAAGTGACATGTTTCTCGCGGGGTGGAAACGAGTCGACACTTACAATGCCTACACGTTCAATCCAACGTGGCACTTACCCGAGAACGTGTCGCCCTTTCGAGTCGGAAAAACTTCCCTAGATGGAAGCACTCTTAAGGTATCTTTTTCTTTAAATTGTCCAATTAAATATATACAACAAAGTTAATAACAAGACAGGTTGGAACAACTAAAGCAGATCCAATTTTCACAGCGAGCATCTTTCGAAACTTTCACAGCTTACGGAAAAAAAATTTTTGTTCAAAATATTAATCCATGTCGCTTGAATTTTTTGAAAGATCAAACTTCTAGGATAATTCTGTTTCTTGAGATGTCTGTGCATTGAGACAAAAAATAGACGTTTATGCGGAAACTTCCAAAAGGGCCTCGAAACATGGTCACAGCTTGGTCTATCTCATTTTTAGAAGGGCTTGATGTTGGAATGCTTGAAAATAGCAGATACAATTTTCACGGCCTGAAACACACATATAAAAACAAGGGAAGCCGGTTACTGTGCAAGTAGCACAGATTGTTCCGACCATAGTCTTAAAAAATACAACAAGGTTTTTCAAGTTATTTTTGTTTTTTTTGGCGTGGTGTGATAAAAGGAGCTAAACAAAAAACTGGGGGAAAGCTATATTTGACAGCCATACTAAAATAAGCAAATTAAAAAGCAAGTTCCGTAGAAAAGTTTCTAGCAAAACCAAAAAAAAATCAAAAATAACTTTCTCAAGTCTTACTGCAGTTAATTGAATTTTTGAACATTTTGATTCCAAAAAGCCACTAAAACACTCAAATTTAACTAATGTTACTCAATTAAAACTAAGTTTTTATGTTTTGAATTAGGATATTGTAAGCACTGGGAAATTTTGTTGGACATTTTAAGGTGGTAAAAATCACAACTGATAGGGCTTTAAAATGACATATCACTCAACCCCCTAGTCCGATGATTATTTGTGGTACACAATTTTGCGAAAAAAAAAAGAAAAAAAGGAAAAAACCAAAACACACCCGAATACATGGTCGGAACAAAAAAAGAACAGACCTATCTTTGCCATTGTTTTCGAGCCCCGGAACTTTCGGAAGGTTCTTCTTTCGGAAGGAAAAAGGAACTTTCGGAAAGAGCCCCGGAACTTTCGGAAGGTTCTTCTTTCGGAAGGAAAAAGGAACTTTCGGAAAGAGCCCCGGAACTTTCGGAAGGAAAAAGGAAACGTTCTTCTTCACCATAAATATCAGAATTCTCCAAGAAATTTTCTCCTTCAAAAAAATTTTAAGCGACGTTACGGACATTTATTTCCGTAAAATCATTAAAGCTTCGAAAAGTTTTCCGTCTTTTTTGCTTAAAAAATAAAATTTTGTCACGTTTTTGAATCAAACCAATGACGATGCGAAGAAGTGAAAAAAGGGAAAACACAGAAAAAAATTGTGCCCTACCTTTTTAGATCACGACGGTGGTGGAGGAGCCCTTTATCATTAAGAAGAAGAACACGATTGGCAATGTGGTGTATGATGGCTACTGCATAGATGTGCTCAAGGCCATCCAAGCTCAAGTAGCCACAGAGTTCAACGAGATGTTCGACTACGACATCCAAGAGGCAGACGGGTGGGAGTTTGATGATATGTCTAATCTTAAACTGACAACTCTAGGCTTAAATGATTATAAAATGGTGGTCATTATTATCTCCGCCTCTCTGCCTCTCAACCGAAAGGTCAGATGTTCGAGGCCCACCTTGAACCGTGCTCGTTGCTTGAGGGTGAGGCAACATAACCCAGCCCAGAAAAAATACCAAAAAAATTGCATGTAGTTCTTAAGCAGAGGCACAACAGCGGTTCGCCGTGATGAGCTGTACAGCTCGTATGTTGTCCTTTCCCTCTGGGATAAATGGTGTTAAAAATTATGAATTGGGTAGAAACCCAAGTGCAGCCATATCTTTTAACACTTTTTTAACCTTCAAGAAACATTATTCTGAAATAATTTTTTTCGGGATTGTTTTCGGGATTTTGGGATTTTTTATCTGAGGCAGTTTTAGGGAAAAAGTTAGTGTTTATGGGAGTTTAAAGATAGCCAATTTGACAAACTTGGTACAAAATTACCTTGTGAATATTACGCAAGTAACTCACGTTAGCGGAGTTTTAATCTCTCTTAGAAATCGTTCCAAATTGAATTGAGGCGAGCTATTTGGTCTATTTATAATTTCGCTATAAGCAAACAAGACTGCTTGCTCGTATATCTGGGCAAAACCTTGAATGTTCCGACTGCACTTAGGGCCAATTGAATAGTTTTTTGGTTGATTAATTGACAAAATAATTCTTAAAAAAAAAGAAGTTTTTCCCTTGTTTCTTCTGTTTATCACCCCACACGCTATATAAAATACTAAGGATGTATTTAGCGTCCCGTATTGTAATAATAGGGCTAAATTGCTGGCCTCATTCAATTTTGAACGCATTAACGCGCTTCTTACGCGTGTTATATATACGCAATATATGACACTTTATTTATTCCAAGTTGGCCAAGTTAACATTTTTCTAACGCTCATAACTTTACAAAAAATATCACAGTAAAATGTCTTTTAAATTTGTGCTTAAGATAATATTATCTCTCAAATGGTGTAGAATATTTCCGTCAAAAACGCTTAGTTAACAAGTCGAAAAGCGACTGAATAAAGAAATCTCACAAAGCATAAATATTCCTCATTTTCTTCAAAAGTCGGAACAAATATGCCACTTTCTATTACGCAATATCCACTAGAATTTACGCAACATCTACTTACTTTAAGGGGGAGGGTTCGTGGTCAGTAGCGTATCGAAGATGGGTGACCGCCAGCTCCACTCCTCTATTGGGGTTGCCAAAAGTTTCACTTTTTCTTTTGGTGCTACTTTACTACAACATCCATTTTTGATTGATTAATAGTAAAAAAAAAAATTCGGAGCCTTTTTGGCGCAAACACCTAATTTTGAGGGAAGAGTGCGCGTCGAAAAAAATGTTGTCAAAATTCTTCAAAAAGGCTTTTTGTAAATTCACCAGCGCCGATTTTTTTTTTCGCAAAACAGTTTCTTTTGGCGTATAGGGGAAGCTCGAAAAATCATGAAGCTGGACATAACTTTTCAAAAAGTGTGCACATGTCACGGTTCATAGTTATTTAGTCACAGACAAAAAGATGATATTTTGACAAAGCTGAATGCTTAATTGATAAAAAAAATTATAATTTCAAATTTATTAACTTAGATTTAGTAAATTAGTAAACTCTACGTGCTCAAATGTTAATGCGTTTCCCGCGTCAAAGTGAGCACTTTCAGGTGTATTAACTTCGTTCAAACTCTTTGATTAAAAACTTTGTTGTCAACATTTTGGCTTATACAATTTTTTCTCAGATACGGAGTGATTGACGGGGAGACGGGGGAGTGGAACGGAATGGTGGCTCATATTCTGTCGGGTAAGGCGGACATAGCAGTGGCGGGCATGACCCGCAACTTCGACAGAGAGAAGGTCATAGATTACACAGCCGCATACATGGACTACGGAGTGGGCATACTCATCAGAAAGCCTCAGCCAGAGATCAACATTTATGGGTTGGTGCAACAAATTTTACTCCAATTTTAAAGATAATTAGTTTGATCATCCGTTTTCAAAAGATAGCAGAAACAGACTTTGGGGGTTCTCAACTCCTACCCCTCATTAATGTGCTTATTTTTATTCACCAAGTGTTTTTTGAGATTTTATTTTTCGAGAAAATTTGTCAAAGGAATCCGTCTATTAGGAACAGGCATGGATCTAGAGCTTTCTCAAGAAGAGCTGATTTTCAACCAAAAATTCTCGAACCCTATTTTGACCCAAATCACGATAAAGACCCTACTTTGGATCAAATCACAATAAAGACCCTATTATGATCAAACTTTCTGCGCCGCAGAGTTTTATAAAAAAAACAGGCAAAAAAAACATTTTCCACATATTTTGGCGGGCTTTTGCTGGCGCTCTCCCACCCCCTTTAAAGTTAGAATATCGTTTAAAAAATGATGTCATCCAATAGTATCAAAGGGGGACTCTTTGGATGGACATGTGATCAACCCTAGGGTGATTCCACCATTGATTAGAGGACAACTCATCGTTCAATTATGCTGTTTCGCATTGTCCAAGTTTTTCGTGTCATAAATATCCGTCGTCTTTGTTTGCAATAGAACATCTACATTCACCTTTGAGTCCCATCGTCTTGTAAAAGTTTCGCTTTTTAATTGTAGATCTGTAGTTTTTTGTACCCAATCAATAGAATTTACTAAAACTCGGCATAGGACATTAAATTTTTAGGTCCTATAAGGGGAGTTTTACCGGATTATTACATCAATAAAACATCAACCAATTAAAGTTATTTTTTTCGCCATTTTCATTAGTACTCAACTGTTTTAGTTTCATGGCACCCCTGAGCAAACGTCTTTGGTGCATCATCGGACTCTGTGCCTTCGCAGCTAGTGTTCTTCTATACCTCTTAACTAAAGCCTCCCCCTACGAACGCATCTTGAATCCAGGAGTCTACACTTACCCCAACAGCGCGTGGTGGATTGTCGGTGCTTTGATGTTACAGGGTGGCGATTACAACCCCAAATCTCTCTCAAACCGATGCCTATGTACAGTTGTTTGGATGTTTTCCGTACTTTT